ATTCTCACCTGTGTTTTCGTCGTTTGACACAGAAAGCTGTAAATGTTCTTTGTTGAATCTTCACATCATGTCACATGTGAGATTTCACTGTTTATCTGAAGAACGTTTGTTAGTATCGTTTTATTACATTGTAACCATGAGCTACACTAACTGAACAGTGGCAATAATAATAATAATAATAATAATAATAATAATAATAATAATAATAATAATAATAATAATAGGAAAGATTTCGTGGTGAGTTTACTCATCATGGACATGATTAATCTTGATCATCATTAATCTTGAGCTGTTATGTTTTCAGCGTGCAGTGATTGTACAGCACACAGATTATAAGATGATAAAGAACAGAACTGAGTTTATTGTGGATTTTCTCTTATCCTAGTAAAACTACAGACCCTGCTCCCTCTCTGTGCAGTGGGGCAAGTCATAGATTTTGAGCAAAGACAGGAAGCAGGAGTGTGTTTAACAGAAGCTGAGCTACATACTCTGGAGCTTTTAGTTCTACGTATGTAAATATCAGACTTTTAAAGCAAATTCAAAGTCAGCTGGGAGCCAGTGTGGAGAGAATAAAACTGGGGTTATGTGAGCTGGTTTACTAGAGTGAGGCTACCTGCAGCAGGTATCTCTGGTCAGTGTGAAAGATGTGATTTATATAAACCAGTATATAAGGCATTACAATAATCATGTAGTTTTCTCTAGCTCAGAGCGTATAGCTCTCTATATGCTGTTCCAAAAAGAAACAGGAACATAAGGACTTCATATGTGGGCCAAACCTCAGAGAGGAATCAGCTGTGAGGCCAAAATGATGAACGCTGATCTTTGCAGATGAGCAACAAGAAGCACTTCACTGATTCTTGCATGTATTACAGGAGGGGCCATAATAGCCTGAGTCATTGGAGCCAGTTACTAATCCAGGATAAACAGTCAGGTGGACAGCCTGTTCAGAGACACATACTTATGTCATAGGCACAGAATTGATAAGAAGACTTAAAAACAATGAAACAATACTGAGTAAAGTAAGGATGTAAAAGGAAAATAATAATGGAGCCGGGATCAAAGCTTGTGGAAATGCTTGTGAAAGATCCAAGACAGATGGTAAAATGAGGGGGATTTGATCTTACCCATTATACAAAGTATTTAGTGTAACTGGAGAGAATGAGCTAAATGACTGAAGGCCATCTTCATAAGAGAGGGAGACGTCCAAATAAAATATACATTCAAGTCAGAATCAGAGGCTGTCAAATCATGGTGAGACGGAGGAGAAACTATGCTGTTATTAAGGTCCAATTACACACCGGGATTGATTTTAATGCATCGTATTTAAAGGTGGAATTCTTTAGAAGAAATCCTTTACGAGCAGGCAAACCTTTGGACAGTCGTTCTGCTTTTTAACAGGACATGTCGTAGTTAGTTCTGGTCCATTGTTCCCTGACCCACAGTCCTCTGTTCAAATACCATCACACAGTCAAGCATCTTCAATTCCCATTAAAGTTTTGTTGATGTGCTTTGATCCAAGTTCAGCTGTTTACTCCACACCAGACTCAAACGAGCTGAAATACAAATGTTCCAGAGCTAACGTAGCTCAACTGAGCCGTCTGCAGACAAAACCGTCTTTGTCTCCACTACATGAGGAAGTGTTTTTGTTTTTTCTCACTGAATCATTTGTTAGTGATCCTCTCCATGTGTCTCTGTGTGCAGGATGAAGGACACCAGTAAGAAGAACAACATCTTCTCCCAGTTCAGGAAGAATGACAGAGACAAACAGAAGCTGATAGAGACTGTAGTCAAGCAGCTGAGGAGTCTGGTCAATGGCATGTCCTCTTAAACCCACACACACACACACAGGCAGGAGTGATGTGTGTGAAACAAGAGACTAAAAGATGTAAACATGAATGGCGTCACATGCACGCGTTGAACTGCCAACAGAAGGACTTTTTCACATATGTAAAAACAACACACCAAATGGCAAAGACACACTTGTGAACCACACGGGGAATTCGAGGGACAGATACACAGCTTACATGTACACACAAGTCACACACACACTTTACATGAAGGCAAAGCAATAGACAAACTGTACAGAGTGTGCAGGACTCTGCAAACACACAAAGTCTCCTTAGCTGACTCAATACTCGACGATAAACGGCATACAGCAGTTCACTGACACAGGAACAAGCAGTAAAATGTTTGTAAAGTATTTTTAATGCAGACGATGAGACGAACTATGTTTTGTACTTTTGTGGGAGTGCAATGGTTGCTGCAGAGTAAGAGCGCTGGAAATGACAGGCACAACTATTGGGACGATGAGGTCAAAGGTCAGTAACACCAGTGAATGGCACCAATCACTATCTGATGCTTTGTCACACACATCTATAAACCGAAGCCCTGTGCAGTAAGATTATCTGCTGGTTAACCTAGTCAGTGTAAACCAGCTGTTTGGAGTGTGGTCGTTAACGAGTAAATATGTCAGCCCATGCTAACCTGCTGAAGTCCTCTTCTTTCTTTTTGTTGTTGTGCATTGAGATGAGCCTATTTTAGCTGAAAACAGATTTCCACAGACACTCAGTCTGAGCTTAGACTCATGCAGCCCCTTCTGTTTAAAATGTAAAGAAAAGCAGAACTAAAGACAGATCAGATATTTAAACTGAACAAATGTCCCATTTTAAGAATAATAGCACGTTTTGAATTTGATGGCACATCTTTAAAACGAAAAGACGGACGATTCCCACTGTGTGAAGCTGTGCTGCTGGAACAGCTGCAGTGTGTGGTTTAGTGTTGTCCTGCTGAAATATGCAGGTCTCTCCTGAAAAGTACTCTAAAACCTGTATACACCTTCCTGCATTGATGGCCAGATGTGCCAGCTGCTGATTCCATAGGCATTAATGCGCCTCCACACCATCAGCAATGAAGGCTGAGTGCTGGTAACAAAGCAGACTCTTCCTCCCGTCTTTAGTCCAAACATGTCGTTTTGGCTGACCTCAGAACAGTTTCCCACTTTGCCTCAGTCCATTTTAAATGAGCGTTGGTCCAGAGAGGACAGCAGAGTGTCTGCATCGTGTTCACATGTGTGATCTGTGGATGGCAGAGCGAGCTGTGTTCCAGCTGAAACTCAGACTCACACCTGGAGGTGACAGGCAGCCAGTGCTGAGCTTCAGTGCTGAGCTTCAGTGCTGAGCTTCAGTGCTGAGCTTCAGTGCTGAGCTTCAGTGCTGAGCTTCAGTGCTGAGCTTCAGTGCTGAGCTTCAGCCTTGCACACACAGATTTCTCTGCATCTTTTGATGCTGTTATTACTCTGGATCAGACGTTCACAGTCTTTTGCAGCGCAGCACATTATTCTGATCTGTTAATTGTACACTAGTTTCTTGCAGATTGGTGATCCTCTTCACCTGGTCATGCTGCTGACCTGTTGCCAGGTAACCAAATCAGCTGTTCCTCTGTTGGATCTCTTACGTTTCAGCTTTTGTTGCCCTGTCTCACATTTTGCTGCTGCCATCAAATTTAAAATGAGCCACTAATGTTCTTGAAATAGTCAAATGTTGAAGTTTAAATATTTGATAGGTTTTCTGTGTTATATTGTGAATAAAGTACAAATGGTTGTATTCTGGTTTTATTTACATTTCAGACAATTGAAATGTGGGAATCCTACTGTGAACAGATCTGTAATAACGATGAAGATGATGCTTATCTTTTCGTGTGTTGCTTTGTGTTTCTGGTTAGATACTACGTCACAACAACAAAGGTGCAGCAGTTAGTGCTGTGTGCTCACAAAGAAAGGCTCACATCACAGCTGGGCCCTGTGTGTGTGACGCTGGCATGTTCTCCCTGCTCATACTTTGTTAGAATGGAAAGACGACATGTTGGAGTCACAGTGAGAGTCTGAGGTTCAAGAGTCTGACTTTGTTAATGTCCACAATCCTTTCAGCACTGCTGCGCTGAGAAGTCCACATCACAGCTGGGCCGATGCCATCCACAGGTTTCACTTGGAACTGTAGACCTCGGGCCAAGCTTTGATTGATTCAAAGCAAGTTTGTGCTGATTTGAACTTCAGTTGGACTTTTCAGCTGAAATAGTCATTTATGTGAGGACACATTATGACCATCAGCTGTGCTGAACACACGGTCTGTGCTTTAGTCATTACACCTGAGCAGTACTGCTAACGGTGTATCAACCACTTAAACATTCATAAATGAAAATCATAACTTTTCAGCCTCGTTCCACTCATCTGCGTAAAACTGCAGCCACACTCAAAGTAAGTGCAGCGACGCGGTGACCAGAGACCAGAAGGGACTACCAATGAGAGTGCAGGTTACCACTGATTTAAGCCACATTAGCTAACCAGAGTGGGGAGTGTATGCAAGCGACCAGCCATCAGCATCACAGCGATACATGACGAGCAAACCCTCCCCAGTGTGGCTTACAGCTGCACGTGTGCCTGCCGTGTACGGCCTGGTTCACTACGTTACTGACTTTGACCAACTGCAGAGGGGTTTGGTTGGGCTTGTGTCATGTTAGGGTGAGCAGCTGCTTAATGAATGAATGAAGTTCATTAAAAATGTAGTAAACTTTCCTGTAGTGAAAACGTCTCCCTGCTTCGTGTTTCCAACCTTTCTGCGTATGAATGTGTCATGTGACCCCGACAAAGACCAGATGAAGTTCATCGTCCCAATACGTCACCTGTTGTTGCTGTAGCGCTGGTTCTGTGACAGGAGAGAGAAGTGTGGATGATGATGTCTTTAGAGACTGATGTTCATGAGAAAAGGGATGTTTTATTGAACTTGGTGTTTGCTGTTGTTTGCTTCTTCTGCCTGACAACCCTGAGACAGTGACTGAACACGGAGGAGCTCGGTGTGTGCTTGCATGAGAGGACAGCAGAGGGACAAGCCTGTCCATGGAGTCTCTGCATATTTACATGATTTGACCTGTCTTACATGGATACATATGTTGCACAACATAAGACAAAGCTTGATACCAAATAATTTGATTCGTTACCACAAAAACAAGATCGATGCTGGTCAGGTCTTTGCAGCTTGTTGCACTGGATTGTATTACATTGTGCAGGTGTAAACATCTGGATTTGTTAAGGCCCTAATAAGGGTTGATGAAGATTTTAGGCTGAATGTGTGTGACACTGTAAGAAACAGCCCTGTTAATGTGTATGCGCATGATGCCACCATATAAGAGATTCACTACAGTCATAGCAAACTAACACCTGGTATTAATATGTGGCTTGTGTCTGCAATATGTTTAGTATAAATGCAACACACACGAGTCCGACTGTTAGTGGATCAGCTGGATCACCTCTGAAGGTGTAACTGTAACGTGATTGTGAAGCCAGTGTTTTAAAACTGGCCACAATAAGCGAGGGGCAGATCTAAGAAATAGAAGGACGCTAACGGTTTGTTAGCCAACATCATCCTCCCGCCTGCCTCTGAAGGACGCCATATTTAACAGAACGAACACTTACACTAGTGACTGAAACTAATCAGGAAAGTTGGCTGGGGGTTATTTTCCCATAGACTTCTATACAAGTATTTCATCTCCTGCTGACCACAGAGGTTCTTTTTAGACCTGGAGGCTACATCCAGCCTGCAACTTTTACAAACTGAGGCACTGCACTACAGTAAACCAACTATGCACGTGTCCTTCAGGCTGATTCCAAGCAACCTAAAAAGTATGATGCCAGTAACAACTACTCTGTGGTGTTTGTGGTGTCTGCAGCTGACCGCGTGCACGTCCACAAGGGAGCAAGACTGCACGAGGTCGATGACGTGGCTCATTCAATACAAAATCCACTCGACCCCCTTAATATCACTTGATTATTCTTTATGATTTCTTTAGCATATTCTAAAACCTCAAAAGCTCAGCATGATTTTTTTCCCATAACCAGCTTTGCACATTAGAGTATATAGAAATAATATGTTAGATTTAATGTGACGTTTAAAATTGACTGTTTATAATGTTGAAGACGAGCCTGGTACCTGAGCGTGGGTGAAAAGGACAAATTCATACAACCTTTTGGCCTGTTAACGACCTGCAGAGCAGCTCTAATATCCAGGTTGCTGGTGCTCTACACCTCAGACAGTGAAGCAGGCCTGCCTGTGTCACATCAGCACATGTTAATACCAGGTGGCGATGGAGGCTACGTTTCCTCATCACGTGGAGCTGGTGTCGCTGAAATCATGCCCCGGCATAGGCCTGTCCGTGGTGCTGAGGCTGGTCAGGTGGACTCTTCTCATACAACCCACCCAAAATATCTGATTCACGCTCACATGGAAACGAGCTCCATGGGGGTCGCAATGTTGAATCGCTCGGTGGCTGTTGCATTCTCTTCTTTTTGTTCCTCAGGGTGAAATCAAGCTTTAGAATCACTTAACACACAAGCACAGCAATAATGAATCGGTTCCTTTACAGCATCACAGGCAGGTTGACATTTTGTAACAAGACCGTTTCTATTCTGTTTGTGTTTGGGCTCTATTTCCTCCTCTGCAGGTGTTTTTGCACTGTAAATGAGTTGTTTTCCTTTTATGATTTATTATTTGCCTTTTTTAATGGTTACTTGTAAATGCCAATGTATATATTGGATATTTTGTAAAGAAAATCTTACAGCAGCCTGTCTGCTTTAGAGAGAATGTGAGGTCGACGGTGTCATATGAACCTCCATCAACAGCTAAAGTAAATATGTAATTAATAAGAGTTTGCATTTGTTCCTTTCCTGTTAAATGCAGCTGAGTGCAATATGAGGACCTGAGTGATTGAAGTCGGTACCTTCTCTTCACACAACTGCATGATTAAAATGTAAAGAGCTGGCTCCTGCTCCACCATACATCCCATATGAACTGTGTAAATAAGGTCCCACACATTTCTCTCTGGGTTTCATCACACCAGTCACACCATTGCTTCTGCTGGTTTGAAAGTAACTACAGCACCTGTGTCACAATATAAATAAAACCCAACTTCCATACAAACACAGCCTGTACTGGTCATAGCTGATGGAAACTGGAAACACAATCATTACACTCTTCATTTTGAAGCTGGCCCCACTTTGATTTTCATAGGAACAAGGATGCTGTACGCCCTGAACTCTGCTGACTTCCTTAATGAAAAAGTTGATCCCACCTAAGGAAAGATTGGCTGGTGGAGAAGTCGTTGCTTTTTTAACAGAGACGCTGTTGTTCCATGTCCTGATGTCCTTGAAGGATTCAAGGTCTGACCCCGGATTTTAAAGACGGGGACCACAGTAATCGGGTCGGGGCAGCAGAATGGGGAGCGTGACTCTTGAGTTATTGGCACTGACTGCTGGTTTGCCACATCTAAGATTAAGGCCTAATGAATGTAGGTGATTTCGATTTAGTTTTAGCACAGACGAGTTTGTTTTCTCTTGTCACTTGCAGACGTAAAGAGAGGGTACGTCTGAATATCCAAAGGCATCCTTGCTTTGTCATTGTTCTCAGTAAGAAACGCAGACTGAGATGTTGTTTCCCTGAATTTGTTGTTTTTATTTTGTGTGCTGTAATAAAAGGTTATCCAACACTAATGGCTTCCTGTTGTTGAACATACTGTTTGATGCAAAACTCGGCAGGCAGGTTATATTTAAGACCGATACGTCAAATTGTCCAATAAGACGTGCGCGTCTGACTGGTCAATATTCACATTGCTGTGATGGATAAAAGTCAGACTGAGCCATGGTAACATTATGGTAATGTGCTGCTTTAAGAGTAGACAGAGGGTGGCTCTTTTTCTGAAAGAAAAAGCTAATATTTGATGTCTATTTACAAGAAAGACTGGAACCAGTGTGTTGGACAGGCACTGGAAGCTGCACAGGAAGAGGTGGAGCTGTTATTTGCGTCCAGATGAAATGAAAAGCATTGTTTACCTGTACTTCCAGGTAACTGGGTTCTGATTGCTGGTTATTCTTGTGTACAAGATGTCAGTTCAGATACCCAGGGTGCTGAAAGCTGTCCCAGCTGTGGACTACTTTGTCCTGTTCTGGGACTTAAGTGCTCACATGAGCAGTGACAGTGTGATGTAGAGGGGTGTGATTATGAAAATGCTGATGTAGTGTTTTTATGCAATTCATTCAAAAAAACTGCTCTGTAGATGTGTAATGGTGCCTAATCCCAAACCAGCTTTACACAGTTTGAAAGAACCAAGCCTGAAAACCAAATTCCTCTCCTTGGGCAGGTGTGTGTGTTAGGCTCCGCCATCGTGCCGAGCAGGCCCTGATTATCAAACTCCACAAAGGGCCACTTTGTAAAAAATGGTGCTTGTGAGAGCAGAACGCTGCTTCACGTTCCTGGACACCTCTGTGATACCTGCCCATATTTGGTGCAGTGCAAAGGTTGTCGACGGTAACAGAGCGGGAAATCAATCAGATTAGCTCGGACTAATAAACAAGTTTGTTCTGTTGGTAGCCGACCCTTTAAACTCACTGAGTGACACACAGGCATCCCTTTACAGGGAGGGTCTCTGTCATTTCACTCAGAGCCTCAGCGTGTCCCCGCACACACACTCACACACACACTCACACTCACACACACACACACACTCACACACACACACACACACACACACTATGCACAGACTGGGACTCTTTGTTCATACCTGTGTAAGACGTCACATGTTAATGAACTTGTGCATATCCATGTAAGCTCAATAAAGAGCAGTGTTACGAGGGAGCAGACGAGAGCGACTGAGGTCAAGTGAAGGAACGGCGCTGTCACAGTTCTCTC